AACTATTATAGTTTCAACTCGTTCAACATATACTGATATAGAAGTATTAAGAGCTTGCTGTTTATCTATTGATTAATCATAATAAGATTAAGAACATTGTTTAGAGTGAAAATGAGTGTCGATCTGACTTCGGATAAAGGGTGTGTATTAAGTTCTGATCCCAAATTGTTAATGATAGTTTTAATAATTTTCTTGAGATAGAGAGCTGAAATTTTTATCACATCTATATTTAATCAAGATCTTCAATTTCTAAAAGTTTCAGCTCTCTAGCTATAACTAATGGTGAGATACATCAGCGAATACATAAATTTTCTTACTCGTTTTTTGTCATTTTATTTTGACACTGAAAATAATGCAAAAATCAAGTAAAAATTTTATCTATTTATCTATGTATTTAACCATTAGTTATAGGCAGAGAGGGTGCGGGTGTCGGTATGGGTGTGGATGTGGGAGCCGATGTGCGTGTGGATGTAGGTATGGTTGTGGATGTGCGTGTCGATAGTCTATCCATGCTCCCACATCAACATCTATATTCACAGTGACTCAGACCCTCCCCAACATCCACATCCCACCTACACCCACACCCTAATAGTAAAGGTAAAATGTAGTGAAAATATAATGAATCGAGAACTAGGACAATAGCTTATAGAAAGGAACCATTGAATACACGTTGATAGTGTTTTTATGATTCTTGATGTCTCTTTCAAGCTATACTCTGGTATTCTATTGCGATAAGCTCACTATTGTCATACATCAAAGCCATAGTTCATACGATCTGAATTAATACCATATTCTCAGAAGTGCCATGGCTGTGTTAAATATGCATTGGAAGGAAGATGGAAGTTTCAGCACATACGAATCTTACGACGAGACCATGGTTTCTGTCGCGATCCACTTTCTGGTGGAGAAGTAATTCTTAATCATGATTTTCTTATTCATGAAGACAAAGACAATATAAAGTCATTTTATACAGCTACGATTGACACTCATCAGTGCTGTCAAGACACTCAGTTGCAATTACCGTTACGAAAAGAGATGTTTCTGCACAATATGACTGAAGTACGTCGTCGAATGGTCGAAATGGATGAAGGTGCAGCGAAATATCTTCCAATGAGTGTCGGTGTGCCTGATATTAGTTATTGTTGGCCTTGCTGTAAATCATCCTTAAATGAACATTGACGTCAAAAATTTCTGAATCAAGTCTGTCACAATGCTGCATGAACAAAATTTTGAACTTTTGAAGTTTTTTCTCAACATCTTTTACTTCTAATATTGACTAATAAATATTGTTGAGATAAAAGATCCTCATCGATAAAAAAGAGAGCAGTGTGAAAGATATATTAATATCAACATTTGATTTCATTCCAAATCTGATAATCTAAAAGTCGACTTAAATCAAGAAGTTGTTTTCAATCGTTGACTTTTCCTTGAAGATGAAGGTGATCCAGACTAATAGTCATCAAAATAAGGAGATAACATATTGCAGTGATTGGTCTCCTGAATCATTCTCTTGCTGGGTCAATCACTTCAACTATAAATAAGATGGCCACTACAAAGATGTTTTGTTACACATAGTCAAGCATAGGAGATATTCGTTTGGATCTATCAACGACTGAATGTGCATCGCTATTCTGACAGTCTAGGGTCAAGTGAATTAACTGTCGATGAAGGTTACTTGTTCAATAATCATCTTTATTCAATAACCTGTTTATCGTTTCCTCATGATCATTAATTATTCAATATTTTTTATATTCGACTATCTAGCATAGATATATTAAAGTAAAAAAAAAATTCTGATATAAAACTCAAAATTTTTTTTTTATTTGAAGTGTTTCTTTATAACATAAAACGATGATGATGACGATGAATTACCATCTGATATTAGTAATGATTTCAATGAGAAATTGCCATATCTCTAAATATTGATTCTATAATAAAAAAATAGAAAGAATTAAACATTTCATTTTATGTACGAATATAAGACAGATAAAAGATATTTTCATTGTATTATAATTTGATTGTATATCGAAGATGTAGTGTAATTTTCGATATGTGATTATTGTTCGAATTAGCCAGTATAATGAATAGTTTAGTTTGAAATATTTTTCAATTTGTCTGTTGATCACAATAACAGAATATTTCCGAGTTAAATAAATCTATTAAGATGAATTGCTGAATTTTAATAATGTTAAAACGTCATTTAGTTTTTTTTTCTTGAAGTTTCTCGAAATAGTTTCTTATTGATGTTTTTATTTATTAATCATTTCTAATCGCATATTCATTTGCTTTTAATTCTATGTCGTCTGTTTAAATATTCTTAATGCATCTTCTTTTTTAATTTATTCTTATATATTGTCTTACTTAGGAAGACGCTTATTATACTATATCTATCGTATTTCACAGAAGAGAAAAAAAAAAGAATAGGAAGAGATTCCAATGCAAGACAGATAAATTTACAGACATTTTCACAAAATTGATTTTCTCTTCCAGAATACTTTGTTTTATATTTCGATAATAATAATAATTGACTTGAGATATTTTTCGGGTAGAGTTGAATCATAAAAATAAAAAGCTTACAAAGAAAACAAATAGTTTTCAACCATTTACTTTAATTTGTTAAGATTTTTTTTTTACATTATTCATAATGAAAGAATATTAACTGATTTGTTTGTTATTATTCTGTCTTATCGATGAAATTGTTGCAATATCTTGACTGCTAGTCGAAATACAATTGAAAATTGTTTGTTCTGAATTTTCAGTAGATGTTGGTGTAACTTGAAAATAAATCGAAAGGAAATTTTATCAATTAGATAAAAACAGTTAAAGATACAAATATTAAAATTCCTGGTCAAATTGGTCGAATTATTGAATGTTTTCCATTACAATTTGATGCTACGAGTGCAAGAAAACAAGATAAAAATGAACAATCACATAATTTACAAGCGTATTATCAACTATTATGGAAACAAATGGAACAAAGAACATTTACATTACATCAATCAATCTTCAGATATTCAAAAACCAAAAATATCAAGAGCAATGCCAATTATATTAAGAAATAACATACGAAGAAATTCGTCGGGTTACTCGCGATGATAAATCAATACTATTAGTCGTTTTTATTCTATTTTCTACGGAAGTTTTTTTTTTCTTATTTGCATAAGTCATATTTTATTCTTTCTAATCGTTTTAACAAATATTTTGATCTTATCTCTTCTCTATGAAATATCAAACATGATTTTCTTTCTATTTCAAATTTTATTTTAATAATATCTGACAATAATCAATAGATTTTTGCATGAAAAAAATATTCTTGTAATTTTAAATGTTCTTCTACTATCTTACCAAACACTGTAAGACGAATGATTTTCGAACAATTAATACGTGTTTCATCTCTTGTAAAATCGTTGGTTATTTTTTTTAACGAATTATAACCTACACGAAGGTGAACATCATTTAGTAAACATATCTTTGCCTTGTTTAAAAATTCATCAAGATAATCTTCATGAGTTTTAACAAGATCAATTTCAACAAGATGAGAATATTTAATTATTGGCTGTTCAAGATGATTATTATGTTGTGGTTCATAATTATGTATAGTTAATTTTTTAACAAATGGAAACGATTGAGTAATTCGAAGAAAAAAGTCATGTTCGAAAGGACGATCATCATATAATGATATTTCACGAACACATTTAAATAATCCACCAGGAAAATTATTTGCTATATTATGATAAAATGTCCATGTATATGGATATGAATAGACATGACAATAGAGTAGTCCTGTTCGTGAAAAATAATCAACACTTGAAATAATTTGATTATTTTGAAAGTTTCGAAATGAATATTTAATATCTTCGTTCAATGGTACATTAATCAGTTGATTAAGAGAAATAACTGAACAAATGTTAAATGTGAATTTGTTTAATCGTGTCATATGATTAATGATATTATTTTCCAAATTATCACCATCAATAATTGGTCCATGTATACTAATAAAATACAAACTAAGTTCTTCCAAATTTGTCATTCTTTGGAATAGTGGTACCAATATATCATCATACACGTATGTTCTATCTTCATGGATTAGCGAAAAGTATTTTAAATTGGGTAGTTGCTTCTAAGTACACGAAAGAAAAAGTAATTTATATTCGTAAATATTATTTATTCATCGAAAAAGAGATTAATACATGCGTAACTTACATGATTGCCAACTATATTTCCATCATACCTATTATAAGGCAGAATCGTAACATAAAATGTATGCAGTTGATTGAACTGACCATTAAGGAGACAGAGACAATCTAAGATATTTCTTACTACAACATGTAATTCTAATAAATTTGAAGAGAATTCAGTTGGAGCTGTACTCAAAAATGCTAATTGTTCATAATTAGAATATGAACTGAAATTCAAGTATTGTAGATTCTTGAATAGAATACAGATTCTAATAAATATAAATATATTATTGTCCTGTGTTGTATTTCCTAATTCATCTATTCGCTGTTTACGCGGTTTCAACTTGATAAAAATTGATGAAATTTGATTTTGAAATTGATTAACTAAATAACTTCCATCTAAAGAAAAAAATAAAAATTTCTATTAAATTTTGTCCTAGTTTTTATTTTGTTTATTAACTTCAAAATATTCTATTCTCTCTTTTCTTTATTCATAAAAATCAATTGTTCAATGATCGTCAATCAAATTCTATAGTAGACTGTAATGTATTGTCCAAACTATGTTTTTGTATCTCAATCTTTTATTTCATAGTCTAGAATTTCTATTTTAAGAATGAAAGAATTATAATTGAATATACTACAAAATAATATTTGTATTTTCTTTTAACTGATGCCTTTATATGTTGAATTTTTTCCAAATTGATATCTACCAATTAATGTTAAAAATAAAAACTATGCCTGTAATAATCAAATTCTGATTATTTAAAATATATTTACCTTGTATAAGTAATCATTGAAAGAGTATAGAAGAAAAATATCTTACCACGGAAGAGTGTACTGGCTGTTTCAGGTTCAAATTCATATAAATCAAGAGCATGTAAATTAGGATAGTTTGTTGCCAGAAGAATACGTTTAATAAATGATGATTCAATACTAAGTCGTTCGATTTTATCATTGATTTTAGGTAAAATTTCAAGAGAAAATCGATCAAGTATTATATTAAATTGATATGATGACCCATGAACATATTTTATTAATGATAAATTTATTGTAAAAATTTTATCGTAGAGAATTGTATCAAGTCTTTCATTAAGACCCATGAAAGAATAAAGTACATCACAATTGTTTAATTTTTGGAAAATAATCAGAAGAATTTCATCTGGTAAATCATCAAGTCGAACACATGAATGTTCCATGTTTATGCTTGTCATTCGTTTTTTTGTACTTTTCTTACGAATGTATATCTATACTCATCTGTTCCATCTGACCGATGTCGTCAATGAAAATAATGAGCATTTGTATGTTTAGTCTAAATTGACCATCAATAAACGAATAACCAATCGAATAATTTTGTTTTCTTCCTATTCAACACTTAGAGGTCAAACACGCTGAAAAGTGAATGAGATGAATTTTATTCTAAATCAACAACTTCTACATACCAAGCAGTTCAGTCACCAATGAGAGCGGAAAATATGTCTTTCTGTCTAATGCCGAGAAAATGCCTGTGAAAAGTTCATATTTATTCCGGAATCCAATAAAATCATAGGTGTCATATTTTAGGTGTATATGTATATGGTTTGATAAAAAAAGTTTGTATTACATAAGAGACGATACGTTTGGTTTCTTATTGGAAAAAGTATTAGGCATGGTTGGTACGCTAACATTAATTCACTTGAAACAGAGTTGCTATCTCTTCCACTATTTGGCCTAGGGTGTGGGTGTGGTTGTGGATGTGGATGTGCGGGTCGATAGTCTATCCATACTCCCACACCAACACCTATATTCACAGGGACTCAGACCCTCCCCAACATCCACATCCCACCCACTTCCACACCCATACTTACACCCCATACCCACCCACCCACTTCCACACCCACACACCCATACTTACACCCCATACCCACCCACACACATCCATATTCTTTCACATCCTACACACTCACACCCACATGCACGCACCCTCATATCCTACACACACCCGCACCCCATATCCGGCCATACCCACACCCACACTCCCTACACCCACATCCCATATACCCACACACCCAAACCCTATACACCCAAACCCCATACACCCACCCACAACTGCACTCGCGCCCACACCTCACAGTCACTCGCACCCACATCCACACTCTTCATCTCATTCTTTCTCTATGGGTACCGTACAGTGAATCTTGCATATTGTGCATTATTAAGCAATTATGTGATTCACTCACTTTTTTTTGTAATGAATCGTTTGAGAGTTTTGCAACAGACTGAAGATAACATATTGTTATCAGAGCAGCAAATAAAAACATAAATTTCATGATGGAGATAGTGAAATAAAGAAACGCATTTTGATGTTTTATTTGCCTGATATCAGTTGACAGTGTGTTGTAAAATATCATCAGTCGCTATCGCTTTAGAATAATTCAATTTATCGAGTATTCTGTTTCTGAATAATCTTGATATTGTCCCATCGTCATTCTCAAATATATTTCAAGTTTGTAAAAGTTTCTTTTAATGACACATTCGTTTGTGTACATGTTTAAATGTATATGTTATTGTCTTTTTTAGTTCTATTTTATTTATCTTCACATTATTTATGTTAACTTTCTCATTAATTTGAGTCGACCGTCCATTCAATCGTCTATCCTTCGTATGAGCATGGAATTTTGTGGAACTCACAGATTTTTCCGCTGGAATTAGTGAGTATAGGTTTTAAGTCGAAGTTTCATGGCTTCTCATCACTACAGACATTTAGCAACCAGAGCACCCTCCTCCCATTACAGATATTTTCCTGTGATATCGAGTTAAGGGAACCCACCTAGTTAAGAAAAATGGTGCGAAATTTAATCAAGGTCACTGGAGAATCATCATGGTGGACCAGTGGACTTCAGCTTCGGTAAAACATGGAACTTTCATACTTTATCAACACTCAGTCCTATTGGTCGGCCATTACGACTCTTCGGCAGTCTCGATTTGTTTTACACTATTTCTCTTATTTCGGTGGACTCCATTAAGCGATGCCTCCTTTGCCTGGTACAGACCTTAGTACCTCTTCCAAAAATAGAGAAAAAAATTATGTTTGACCTGTAGAAATAAGTAAGAAAGATCCTTACTATAGCGACCGATTGTCTTGAAAAAACACAACTATAATCGATGAAAGTTTTCGCTTTGCATATTTTTGTATTATTTTAATGAGGCTAAGGAGTTTAGATGGATTCCACATCTCAGTCCCAACGAAGCTATGCTAACAATTTTTTTTTCTCTTTGACTCATTGTAGTAACTGACTCTTTCTTCGTAGCCTTTTAATTTTATTCATGCGTGGCTTGACATATTTTTCGGCAGCCTACTACATTTCTTTCGTGTAGTCAGCTAAGAGTTGTTACAAATAGTAGATTGGCAACCTAAACGAGTGGCGAAATGTGAGTCAGTTCTTTAATTTTTAGAACTTTCATCGAAATACTTTACTCTGACGTAGGCAAAGTAGGTTCATGCAAAGCGATCGAATATTAATTTAAGGCTGCTGCCCTCTCTCCCTCAAAATCGATCTCAGGCCAGGAACATCAAATTGCATGAAACTTTCAGGATATGTTAGGAGACTGGTGAGCAATGACTATAGTGAGATTTTCACCCCTATAGTACGATGTTTAACAGAGATATTCACCAAACAAGAGCCAATAATAGCTCTATCATATCTCCAAATTTTCTCTGTGGACCTTCATTCCAGACGTTTAATTTTTTTTTGTTTGAAAGAGCATATCAGAATGTAGCCTCTTGTGACCCTTTTTTTAAAAACTCTTACTTTTTAAGCGAAGAAAAGCAACGACAAGTTCAATAAGTCAAAAAAACTCCCTAAAAAATGGCGGTGTTTCTATAGAGGTGTTCTCTACCATGATAATACAAAGACTAATTTTGAAAAAAAGGCCACGAGAAAGGCTAGCCATGGACATCAGCTTTCAAACAAAAAAAATATTTGACTTGATCTCTTACTATGGTAGAGTTCTGCTGGCGCTACGTCGTTGAACCTCCGTTCTAAGAAAAACGAAAAATGATATTCGGTTTTTTGTAAAACGGCTTGTTTTTCGAATAGGGGATGACGAAAATCTTCCAAAATTTTTTGAAAAAAGAGGTGTCGAATAAAAATTGTTGTCGCGTATGAAAGAGCAGATAACGGCCTATTTTCCCATGAACTTATTTCAATTTCGACGATTCTGGCGAAAAGCCACTTTTGTGAGGAAGTAGCCTTAATGCTAGTCTTTCGTCGGTCTATTTTTGTTTCGAATAAAATAGATTTGTCATCTTTTAGTTGTTTCGGTCACGTCAGCAAAGATGAGTAAGTAGCGAATAACTATAGTTAGATATCGTTAATGAGTTTTTATATATATAGTATTTTATAAGTTTCGATTTTACTTACATTTGTTTATTTTTCGAATTTACAACGTTGAAGAAATATAGAATGTACATGTTTAAAAGTAGCATTTAGATTATCGTTCAAATTTTATTGTATTCAATTGACATCATTATCGAGGGGGTATGTTATACATAAGAATATTAAAATAATGTTATCAAATCTGTTTTCTCATTCATCTTCAATATATTTTTATCATAAACACGTAAAAACACATGGCTAAACCTATTTTAGTATTAAACTCTACAAGAACACAAATGATAAAATGACCCATGAGTTGTGTGCGAATGGCATTTCTCTCATCTTAACAAAAAAGATGTACAAAAGAGATTGGTAGATATATTTCAGTCTGTTTTCTAGTAACGACATTTCTTAATAATGATGGCAATTGAGTATAGTCAGCTTTGGATGATAGTTCAGATTTTACGAATATATATATTTTCTACGACTATCAAACGTTGTATGTTCGAAAAATACAAAAAACAAACTCTAAATGATCCCAAAATCTATAAAATAATCTTTATATATGTTACCGTCACAGAGTGTATAGTAGTTCGATGGAGTTCTTAAAGATGGAATAATTTTTATCGCATATCTCTACTTATTACTTAACGTTCGTCTTTTCAATCGAATGTATCTCTAGCAGAACCCTTTACAGGACCCAAAACATTTTTTCTGGACCTGGCTAAAGAGATATGCGGTCTTCTATTAGCTTTTGTGTTAGTACATTGCTCAAGCATACATATTGTAGAAAAATGTTTCCTCTTTCACTTCATGTATTTAGAGAAGCATTACAATACTTTCTAGCCAAAATGTTTTAATAGAAAAAGTCCAGATTCGCACTTAGACCTGGTCGAATCCAGAAAATGTGGATCCAGGTTAGGGATGCAACAGTGATGATGAATCGTCTATCGGTTCACCGTAGTATCGGTGGCACTGGTGCACCTGTCGCTTTTTAGTTTATTCTTGAGACCTTTAGGGTGAGACTATTGGTGAGACCGGCGGGACCATGAAAAACCTACGGCGACGACTTCTCTTAGCAGAAAGCGATGTGAATAATGGAGAAAACCGGTCGTCACTATAGGTTCCTGATGCGTTAGCCCGTTTCTCCTATTTGAATCCCGATGATTGAAACTAGAAATGCAACGGTAGTAGTGAACCGTCTACTGTAGCACTGATGGCACTGATATACTGGCCGATTTTTCGTTGATACCTGTCACAATGGTAAATAACTGATAGTGGTAACTTGTGACGTTAACTTTTGGTTTTGAGTGTCCGGTATTGTAAAAATAACACTTCTCACGAATTTTCATGAAAGATTTTTTGCAGTGAGACTAACAACGAGGCTGATGAGACTATGGAACACCTACGACGATGACCGGTTTACCAGTATCGCCGACTTGTCTTAGCAACAAGGTATATGAATAATAGGAAAAAATGTCATCGCCGTAGATTCCTGATATGTTTACCAGCTATACCAGCTTTAATCCTGATGCTTAAAACTATATTCTTAATTAAAGCATACTATAGTAGACGACACACTGTTTCACCAAAGAATACTAGAGTCAGATCATCAATGAGACCGTTGAGAAACACGAAGAACCTACTGTAGTGACCAGTGCACCAGCACCACTCACTTCTCTTATCAGAACAGTATGGAAATAATGTAAAAAACCGATCAACAGTGTAGATTCCTCATGGATTAACCGGCTTCAGTGGTTTTAATTTTGGTGCTAGAAGCTGCATCCCTGCATAGTTCTAAGAAGCATTTCTATTATCCAACGCAGTTACACTAACAGTTG